GAAAAATATAAGTGCAACAAAGCTGTTGTAAATTTCCTTGCACAGTGTTTTGTTTTGGATAAATGGTTGAATTCAATTTTTTTTGTTGAAGGTCAAACCATAACCTTGAATTGATTGCGACACCGCCTGAAGTTCTCAATGCCATTTGGCCCTAAGGTTGTCGTCACCGGTTTCGGCCCATTCGGTGGTGTCCTTCTGAACAGCAGTACTATCGCCGTCCAAACCTTACGAAATCGGTGGAGATCTATGGAACCGGGTTTAAGTCCTACAATCGATTTAATTGTTTTGCCCAATATAGAGGTGTCTTACCGGAATGTGGATGTGGTCGTATCAGAAATCTGGAATATAATTAAACCGGTACATTTTTTGCATTGGTGTGGCCTCGGCTACAGGCCAGGGATCTCAGTTTAGGTTTTCGCAATATGGTATTTTGTGTACGCATATATTTTTTCGCAGTCACTTTTATTCTTTGATTTACGCAACCGTGGCTTAATTGTAAAATAAACGGTCATATTTCGTCGTTTTACGTGCCCTTTGCCCCAGAAACACAGGAAAATGTTAAATAGAGAAAAGTTTTGCACACTTACATAAATAGCGCCTCTGAAAACCATTCACTTTAATGGCCGCGGTAGCCAGACTTTCATTCAGTTCATTTGAAATCCATAAACTGCTTTTTGGTGTTGTCCTTTGTTAATAGCAGTCAAGCTCTGTATTGATATCAAACTGTTTACGAGCCCTCGTCTTGGATCCGTTTTTGGCAAGATTTCTCGTATTTGTAGTGATTGAAGTTTATAAAAAAGAAATTATCTAATGTATATATATCGTGAACCCTAGTTAAGGTCTGTGCTTTTAATCCCAGGACTTAGTTATTCACGTTGGAGTGGATGCCACATCCTCAACGATTAAACTCGAAACTCAGTCTGGCTCTGGTCCATACGTGCTCGAGGATGTTTGTGGACTCACCTGCGACTTTGAAGATCTTCGTGGTCATATATGTACCACGTTGTCGTTAAGTGAACCATGTGCGTTGCTTCAGTCTGCTGGATATTCGTGCTGCCTTTCAACAAATCCTGGTCGCTTTCTCTGCAGCTACATTTATCACCGGTATGAAGTCATATCATTTTAAGGTATTTCAGTCTCCACAAGAGCTATTTCCAGGCCTGCTCTATGGAATTCATACAGATTTGACATATGAAACGCTGATACGAATTGCGCGTTTTCCTTAACTTGTGGAAAATTTATTTTTTGGCTACTCTGGTTGTCTCACATCCCTAACGCTACCTATGCATAAGTGCCTTTTCAGAACATCTTCAAGTAGATATTGATTCTTTTTTATTTGAAAAAGTGGTGTCGTATGGCTTCAAGTGCCGCTAAATGTTTTGAGATGCCATGAAATCATTTATTGTTTATTAGTTTAATTGTTGTTACTCTGATAAATTTTAGATCACTTGAGAGAGACCCGAATCGAACCTTGTTCGTTCACGTTCCCACGATCTCAGAAATTTTCACTCCGGATTACCTTGGTGATTTTTTACTCCTTTTGATAATCAGCCTCTGTAAGCAATGTGGTCTGCAGATAACTCAGTCTCTGGAGGATTATTTTCGAAAGCAAACTACCAGAACTTAACTCACTTAATGATTTGATGCTAATCTTTTTTTGTTATTGTGTCTGTGCTTTCCATCGGCATGGGGGGAGTGGGTAACCGTTATTTTCTCCCCGATCCCTACGAGAGGACTTAAGTGTACTTTTTTCTACCCTGTTTAGAAGTGGGCGCATTTTCATTCGGTTGTACCACTTGTATATTTTAGTTGCGGAATATGGCTTTTCTGAGGAATTTATTTGGATATATTTAAGCTTATGAATGCATTCCTTTGTGTGTTCATGTGGTCTGTGCTTAGGGACTGGCTATTAACCTCAGGGATCGATTACGATCGTACTTATGGCATTGAACGCCGCAAACCACGCATTGGGTTGGGTCGTAGCAAGTTATCGACTTACCAACTTGGCCAGTGAGCATTTGGGCACGTACTGTCACCGAGGCTACACAAAATTGATTTATGGAAGAGTCTTGTACCACATTCTCGCTTGGTTTATTACAGTATTGTTTGCTTGGCAAAAATATCAGTAGCGCTGGCGGTGGGATTGCTCAAATGCTTTAAATTTGTCAGTATCTTCTAATGAAGACGATATGAGGAGGCGTACTAGCATTATTCGTCAAGTGCATTTGCTGCTAGAAACTTTGGGGTGGTCGTTTACAAGGGCGACCTTGGAAAGTAGGGCTTGTGCAAGAGTGGCCCATTATAACGGACTGAGCTAGAACCTCAGCCCTCAATGTCAATATCCACAACCATACTGCTGGGGCACAGGTATAATCTTTCGTATAGGAAATTTACCACTTTTAGGCTTAGGTTAGAAGACATTTGCAGTTCTCAGCCAATATTGAATTTCAGTCAGATTAATTAAGGTATGCGTCGCTTCGATGAGGATTCACCAATTAACAGAAGGCTTATGGGTCTGTTAATACAATCAATTCGTGGGTACCGACACATGGTACCAGATCGTCAAGAGCCTAATTTATCCGAAGTCGGATATTTCCGTCAAATGGAGGAGTACTTTGTGGGACAAACTTTCCTTGATTAATTCTGTTTCCTTTGGGTACATATTGTAAACCCACAAAGCCAGGACTGAAGGCAGACGTATTTCAAGCTTCTTTTAATTCCTTCAATTTGTAGTTTAATGTTTTACACATAAACCAAAAACTTGCCAATTAATCATGCGGAGAGTTGTGACTAACATGAATTAAAAAACCTGCTGACACAGCACATATTTGATGTTTCTAAAAAAAAATTGAGGAGTTTTCTTTTGCTTCTTTATTTAAAATTTCGTGGATAAATTAAACTCCAATGCCCTTGCTCACTAGCTTTAAAGCAGTAAGCGCAGAAAAGTGGTTTTGTGCCCAAACTTTATTAAACAGTCTTCCTGCTTGGCACAGGTAAAAGATTTGTGTGAAAAGTCACTTAGTTAACTCATCAAAGCCCAGTAGTTGGATAAAAAAAAATGCGTATAAATTTCGCTCACATGTGTTGTAAATAACCGGATGGCCAGTACACGCGACATGCGACCGATGACCCAGTGCCAGACTGCGACACGAGCCCAATTTCCCTAACACAAAGAGCGAGACAGGGTGGAGCGGGTTCGGCGAGTACCCATCGTCTATTCAATCACGAGGCCAAGTCAGTGTGGCATTGTGTCGTCAGTACATGCTCAAGTATAATAAAGCTAAATTTTATGCACAGGCTATTGACTTGTATGGCGATATTTGAACTGACATTTTGTCTATAACATAGAGAATATCGTTCGACTTCAATCGAATTTGGCAGTCAAGTTAAGAGGCTTTTTGCTGGCACATTTCTACAACCTGTCAGGGTGGTGGTTGACCGACCAACATTTTTGAATGGATGCACATTGGTATTAGCCATGGAGTTAAGATCGTGATAAAAGGAAATCGTGTTTATAAATAGATTTGTTTGAAGGTTCACATGACAAAAATCTGGATTTTGAACATCACGATGCATAACATGGTGCGTGAGCGATATATATATATATGTAACGCTTCTGTTTACTGTCAAGTCCTGCTCATAGTACCGCTTTGTCTTCGACAATGTTTACATGCGATGGCCATTTTGTTATACCTGCATGCAACTCCAGCTGATGCACCCCAGAGAAGCTGAAAACTATGCCATCATCTAGTCACCTTGCACATAAATTTCACTCCAACTCAGCAACAGCCATTAGTTCAAACTGCGCCATGTTAAAGAGCCTTGAACTTCATTCCAGTATGTAATAAAACTGAAGTTGCTCTGTAAGCAAACAGTAACTTTTGATGACTCCGCGTGGTAAAGTACCATGATGAATTCACAAACGATCGATTCGATCGTACGCTATAAACGCCAATGTCTCATTGTGATGGGACTGCTAAAATATTTTTTCTGTGTTTGGATTTGTCTTTACCGAGTTTCAAGCACACGGTTATTGTGTGAGTTAATACACTCAAGAAGTAACGCAACGTCCTTTAGTGAAAGTAGCTTTTTTTACGAAAGCTGCGAAAATTAAAAAGGTCCTGGCTGTTTGCATAACAGGAGGGCATTAACTAGACTAACTTTAACAGCATACTTCAAAGTGCACCTGGGATAAATCAGTGCTCAACTTTTTGATTTAATTCGCTATCCCCGAAAACTAGCGCATGGCCCACGACGCTAAACACGCGCGACTGACGCCTCATTAGCCAATCACACGACAACGAATCCTCGCACTCACTGGCGATTGGTTGCAGGGAGAATGCATGTCCTGTACGCGAGCACTTCAGCACACGGCCTCGAGGAGGTGGCAAAGGTTTACTTTTCTAGCTGACCATGTTTACTCACGCCTCCAATTCAAATTACTACTTTCCACAATACTCCGAATTTTCGGACGCCCAAGGCAATGCCACTGTGAGCAATCCACCCGTCGGTCAACAGTCAGCGATTGAAGTAGAATCACAATACTACACCACTTACAACGATGGGTCTACCCAGGATGCCCAAACTCAACCATCTGCCTATTCTGGCTATATTCACTACGAACCCCCTTCATACACATGGCCTCAACCAATAGAACAGAGGGCATGGGACGGCATGTCGACGGACATCCACCCACCTGAATACACCTATACAAAGCGGTATCCAGAACAGACAGAACAAGAGGCAAGGGATTTCGAGCAAGTTGAGCCGCCGCAACACCACTTTGAAGGGCTTAATGCGGCTCAGATTGAAGTTCCTGCAGTCCCAATAGTGTGTGGGGGGTTCGATCAGCCTAAGATCGCTGAGTACCAATTAGACGGGGCTATGAAACCTCCATTTTCGTACATCACTCTGATTGTCTCCGCAATGATGTCGAACAAAGAAAAAAGGGCAACACTGAGTGAAATATACTCATGGATTATGAACCATTTTGCCTACTACAGGAAGAACACCAAAAGGTGAGCCCCTTTTCCAAGTTACTTTCACAACGGAAGGCAGTAAAAGAAGTTGAGGGATTTCTCAAATTTTCTTCAGTTACCTGTCCATCAGACTGATCAAAGGGTCGACTATCCATCTCCAGCTAAATCTTTGTTGTCATGGTCAGCACAATCATGGACCGCAAATAACCAAATTACCTAACTTTGCTGTTTTGTTTCCGTGGTAAGAAACTGAATTCCAGGAACCGGATTTGTGAGATGAAGGTCCCTGAAACCCCCCTAAATCTGCTTACTCCTTACACGAGTAGGAGTGATGTTAAATAACGATTATAGTTCGGTAGTAACATAAGACAAAATCGATAGCAGAGTGGTTGTTATTAACTTGGAAGTGTAGTGGACCAGCAAGACCTGCATCTCAACTTAGAGTGGAATAATCCAGGGTCTGTTCTTTTAGTTTATTTCAAAGGCATTGGTGGAGGATGATATGATTCTTTTTAAATCGATTTGCACGAAAATTGCTGATAATTGATCCAATCACTTTGTGACATTTTGTCACATATCAGGCTAATTCATCGTCAATTTCGAATTTCCCAAAAATGTTAATTTAGGACCCGAGACAAGGGTGTAGCTTGCCATATCATTGAATTTTGAAATACATGATATCCCATCAGGTAGGTGATGGCGATTGGAAGGATTCACCAGACTGGGTCATAGCTCATACACCACTTTCTCGTTAGCTTTGTTTCTCATCAGTTCATTTCGAGTTAAGGAGATTTAGTACCTTCGCATGTTGTCTTTGCGGTGTAAGCTTTGGTGCAGTTGTTTCTTTGAAATTAGTAAATAAAAGTATTTAAGTGAAACTATACTTTGGCTTTTGGCTAGCTTTCAGAGTTTGAGCTACTTTTCTGGCATATCCTCTTGCAATTGGCTGGCGTACACCAGCCCAATCAGTGCTTCACAAGATTGTTACATAAGCCATCTCAACCATTTTGTGTGCATTCATACTGTACATCCTGTCAAAGGCCCGCCGACGCCCATTGAGCACTGGTGCGCGGTCGCACGTACACCCGTATTGCGCAAAAGTCATAAACTACAATGCCCCTCGTGCGGTGTCATCACCGCTATACACAATGGGCTTGGCGCGCTTTAGTCAGGTGACAAGGGGTTCCATCAGTAGTAAATCAGATCAAGTTGAATTTTCTCACGCAACTAGAGCTAAATTGTGCTCTGCTTGCGTGCACACTTGTAACAATGCATCGAAAATCCGGGTCGTGAAATCCGGACCTGGATGAAATCTTTATTTTTCGCCTGGACGACTTACAACCCAGCAATAGAGTATCGGGGAGATATTTAGGGTATAAACGCTTATCCGCTTATCCGTGTGCCGGACAAAAAACCAATTGTGTAGATGATTTTCGGGAGGCCTTGGTAAGACCTGAGGCAAATCAATTGTAAAAGAATGTACCAGTATCTTTCCAAGTAGAGTAAAACCTTAAGTTTTCAAAAAAATTGCGTTTCAAGCGAACACCCAGCATTTTTGCCTCCATATATTCGACGTTTCGGAACCAATATGAATGGGGCTTACTGTAGACTTCAAATACATTCATCATTGTAACATACGTAGACTGAATAAAAGATTGCAACTTTCTGAGGCAATATTGTTATATACGTTCCTCTTTCAAATCACAGTGGAATAGTCCTTCATGGCTGTCCGTCTTTTTTTTCATTTTAAATACATATTGACTACGAATATCAAAACTGCTCAAGACAAGTTTGAGCAAATAGGTAAACCGGAAACGCCAGAATGCCTACTTAAGAGTGATTTACTTCATCTGAGCCAGGAATATCTCCTCAAATTATTTCACCAAACTGTATATATTCATCACTACAGAATCTTTGCTGGACTCTTTTTTTGCAGTCATTGAAGCCTGAGTAAACTAAGACGAGCATAAGATCAGCAACACCTTTCATTATGTACGGTTATGCGTCGTGTAACTGCAGCCCATGTAAGTATAGATTGGTGTTATTAACTAGTTTTGACTGTGTAGATTTGATTTTTTGCCATTACCAAACCGTACACACAATGCGATGGGTGCTACAGCAAATTTCCGTCCAAAAGTGTTTAGATTTGTGCATTGATAGATGGCCGTTAAAATGCTGCGCAACAATAAAGTTGGGACACCTTCAAAACTATGGTGACGAGCTGGATTGAGACCCTGGACACTGTTTGTACCTAAGAGGCACTTAAAGGGTACAAGGAATTTACATTCCGGGCAAACTGACTGAGCTGGACTGCTGGTATGACTGTGGCAAAAATATTGTGTTTGGATAAATCCTCGTGACTAGAACCCATGGAGGGTGATTAAGTTTGTATGGAGAAATGTTTGTTCGTTTGAATCTCATAACCACTAAGAAGGTAGATCCGTATCAATGACAATGGCTGCTAGTAAAAAAATCAGTGCACAGTGGGATTTTCGTTTGACCACACCTGACGTGTTGGCAAGACAAATAACGGGCGTCTGTGGGGATATATCAAGCACCTCAAACTTGAGGCATATTCGGTTTCCCGTGGTTGGGGTTAGTGAGCAATCAGGGTTATTTAACTGCTTCCAATTCACTTCTTAAAACCGCAAAATTAGTTCACTTGGTTGTACTAAGGTCTGGACAAGATAAATAGTTAAGATTTTTAAGAAAACGTTTAACTTTCAAGCACATCACTGATCAGACAACTATTTACCCAATTCAACTGTAAATAATCGGCCTCAAAATTTTTTTCTAAATATTAAACCATTAGCTGCTGTAGATAATCACATTTTCCATCGTTAAGATGCTCAAGTTGAGCGGTGGGCTACTACTCACTAGTAATATGTTTGCTAAACAAGCTGCCATGTTTGTTGAAATATAGTTATTTTATGTGTACTATACCCATCAGAAATTCTCACAAAACTAACAGGCACTTTTCGACAAAACTAGAGACGATTTTGCCTCTGAGAATTGCAAAAATCACATGAAGACGACGTGCGGCTGTTTTGGTTCGCTATCGCTCCTCAGCATATGTCTAGATACTGGCAATAATCCAAACTCCAAATAACGAACAACATTTACGGCAAAATTTTACAATGAATTCGTTAGGTGGTAATGCGGCCGGGCAGAACGCGAAAATCTCCAAAGGACTGGAGGGTTCATTTTGGATTTGCACTAGTTAGCACATCTCGTGAAGAGAATTTGTTTGCTGCAATTACCACAACGTTCCACATTTCAATTTTTCCTATTTTTATTCCAAGGGTAGGGCAAATTTTGTAGCGCAGAATCACACGATGTAGGCGTACTTTTTCCCTGAGTAATTGAGGTATTTAAATAATGATTTGAATATATGGCGGGTGAATAAATTGCGGAAATCGGGAACAGTTTCATTACCGTCGTCGTCAAGATGCCTCAGAGAGATTTCAACACCCAAAATCTCTGTTTCTTGAAATTATAGGATTGTTGGAGTACCGTCTCGCACTCCTGATTGGACTGTTTTTATTAAAACGCCTAGTAGCTAGTTGAACTGTTGAAAATTCCGCTTTTTTGTTTTTCCATTCAGCTTATTTCCCTTAATGAAATGCAAGAATCGGATTTGATCTCATTTGTTCGAAACAACAAAATGGTGACATATCTATTTGGGTCATACTCTGAGCAACCCTAATTTAGTTGGCTTGAACAACCCATCAAATACCAAACGAGTGCCTAAAAATAATAACTTGTTTTCGCGCACTTGCACTTTCTGGTAACAACTTTGACAAAAGGGAACGCGGTGTTGTTTTGATGAGAGATCATTGGTTTCAGGTGGCAAAACTCCGTTCGCCACGCACTCTCCTTCAACGACTGCTTCACGAAGGTCCCCCGCCCCCCTGGGGAGACCGGAAAGGGCGCCTACTGGACCCTCCACGAGGGCGCAACCGGGATGTTCGAGAACGGCTCGTCGATTCGACGATGCCGCAAATTCGTCGACGAACAGCGCGTCAGACCCCGATCGGGCAGAAGTCGTAGGAGGAAGGTTCAGGAAAGTGGAGAAGAAAAAGAACGTGCTCCACAGGGTGATGCTGGCCATCCCTCCCCGACAAACCAACCAGCTGAACCGCCGCAACGCCAAGCGTAAGGAATTTTGATAGACCTTGAAGTTTAGCCCATGCTACGATCACGAGCAGGTCCGGATTATTGGTTTGTCCTTTGTGGTTTCAGCTGACACTTGATCTTGGATCGGATATACCAGAGACTACCTTATACCCACTCTAGTCCTATGCAGAAACCTTTTTTTAAAGAGAATAGAAGTAGTTCATTGGGCTATGAATAAGGCTCCATTCGACTACTATATTCGTTTCATTGTTATTTATTGGTGTACAGAACACTTAAATCATGGCATGTATTCGAAAGCACGGTTTAGTCATGGAAGTAGGTCATTGGAAATGAACTAATAATATTTTTGTGAAAGCATGCATTTAATCCACTGATAGGTGGGATTAATCAAATTGCAATCAACCACATTAATTTAAAAAAACAGTGGTATTTATCGTTTTTGCTAGACGATTGCATCAGAAATAAAGGTGACAGCAGAAGGGGTGATCTTATCCCTGTGTTATTAAAACTTTGGTCGTGACCACGAATAAAAGATGGTTAAGGATAAGTGCACTCTAACGTATGATTTTGGTTTCCAAATGGGTTACCTCCAACAAGTGGAGGTCATATTCACCAATATGCAGGCCTTAGAAGCGCGAATAATTCAAAGATCACACTTAAAGCTGATTTGCTAATGCCAGACGATTTTGTTGATAATTAACTTGTGCGAGTCCCCATTTACCTTATACTCAGGTAAAAGTTTGTCCCCCTGATAAAATTAATCTTTTTGGCAAACTTAAGAAAATAGAACGGCAAATGTATTTGAGTAGTAAATATGTGTCCTAGTCATGCTTTCAAGAGGCCGGGCTTTCCGGAAGACCTTGCGTCGTTGTTCAACAGACAGGTATGGTGGTACAAAGAAGTGGGAATCGATTATTCAGGATTAAGATTAATCAAATTTCATAATCATTTCTGAGTGGTTACAAGGCATCACAGCGTTACATTTTTGAAAATATTTCCCATTAAATTTATGCCTTTAGTCCAAGTTGACTCGAAATGTGATAAACGGGGTTTTTAGGGGGGAGATTACAGCTTGGTTCACTTGAGACCAGGAATCGGTCATAGTAAACCTGCCATTACAAAAATAATTTTTTTTGTATACACATATAGGATTTAAGCGCCCAAAAACAGTCAACGGAATTGTTGGGGACGAAAAGCAGACTAGGGCCAGGCGTCAAATGTACATCGGAAAATTCTAGATTGCGTCGTGATAGGGAAACTGATTTGTTGGCGCTGTAACCATTGTGTCATTGAAAAACTTTGGATAGTTGCAGGACTTGCACTTCAAGTTAGTACAGTAGGGTTAAGTGACTTTTCTAAAAGTGGCAATTTCCCATAATTGTCCATTTATTGCCAAACTTTCTATACAAACATAAGCTCTACTCATGCTATTTAACTATAAATGCATAATAACAGCATAATTTTTTTATTCGTTTACAGCAAGGATGCCAATCTAGACCCAAACTCACAAGAAACCTCCCGTTTTGTTATCTCAGAAGGCATCTATTCAATGAATATTTGAAAATAGGCACAGACCAGCGGCAGAGCGGAATGTTCTTTATTAATATTTTCTAATTTCAACCTTTACTATGGTGGTGGTCGCACATCATTGGCATTGTTCATACCGGTTTTGTATCAGTTTTTCAATAAAGAAATACTTAAAACATGTCAGTGGTAAAGAGAAATTGAACGAATAACAATTTTGTTTTAAATAATATGTTGACTAGTTAGCTCGATTTATGTTTTAGGGTAGGATTGTTTGTTACCATATTCAACGTTTTCAGAAAAGAATGTTGAAATAGTCGTGGGTACGTTGTGTGGGACTGTATGCAAAGTTCAAAACCGAATATACAAAATGCAACCCAAGTTCATTCTATTAGAGGCCGAATTAAATCCAAGAAAAGTTTTCGACGAAGCTAAGAGAATTTACGAGGTATTCTTATTTTAATTTAATTGCACTGGAAGAAAGAAATTATATCTGCATTCATAATGCAAATTATTAAAAAAAACACCTACATGCAAATTGATATTAAATTCAAGAATTTAAGTTACAACAAATCATAGGTGTAAGTGCAAGGGTTTTGTACCATAAATTAATCGAGTAAAAATTGTAATGGTGCAGACACTTTTTGATTTTAATATAAATGGGCGATTCTGGTTTTGATGCCACAGAAAATATCACAATCAGCTAATTAAAACAGTTGCTCAATAAGTGCAATGGTACCGAAACAAAAAAATTCGAAAAATCAGAGGCAAAATTAAACGTTTTAGAAGTTGTAGAGGGTAAAAGGCCAAATAAAGACTTAAATTAAAGCTGTTATGTTGCAAAGATTGCAATGCCTAGATTTGGCAAGTAAGATTGAATATTTTTTTCTCTCCTTAAGGAACTAATAACAAGTAAACAGAAGTAGGCGTAGAACAACAAAATGGCTAACATAAACAGACGCTGTTAATCTATTAAACGGAAAATCAGCAAAAGCGATAAATCAAGTCATCATACTGATTAATTCAATTTCCTTCTGAATTCAAGCCCAGATACACCACCAGTAATCTCACGAAAAACAATGCAAAATTTATGAACAAATCAACAAAACCGAAGCCAGGAATCGCAAAATGAGTGTCACAACTGAATTCCCGAACTGATTGCCTAAAATCATATATGCATTCAGAGATATTTATGAGTGGGTAAATTGTCTATTAAAATTTCGGGTGGCATATTTAAATTAATTGGCCTTAAACTTATCTACATTCATTGTACAAATGGACGCAATTTTTTTTAAAATAACTAAATAAGGATGACATTAATAGCACATGGATTCATTCAAGAATAAATTTTTAACATACGGAAAAATCAATCGTAATATCTTAGTGTCTTTCTTGCATACGGTTTAGATCAAGATTTGACTTGTTGGCTTCCATCTGCGTAAACTGGAAGCAAATCAAAATCCTAAAGAAGAATATTATAATATAGAGGAAAACAAAGCATCACCAAATTTCAAGCTCTCGTGATTTAATCTTGAAGATTTGTGTTTCCAAAAACTAAGAGTCATAATGATTTATTTTAATAATTGCTTTTTCTCATGGTTGCTACGACGAATATAAAGCAAAAAAAGACATCTTTAGTTAAGCACATGAACCAATATTCAGTAGAATATGAAATGAGGGACTGTAGATGTGGCACGTAATGTAAGTGTCCAGGCTAGAATTCGTAGTGCATAAACGGCCTTTGTTCATATGCTTTGTGTAAATAGATTAAAATTTGCCTTCACTATTTGTTGGAAGGCCTCGAAGCTATGGGATATTAACTTTGCTTTACCCCAATCTATGGTCGACTTCAAATATTTCCTTGCCTTGGAAGCAGTTAATTTTTTAGGTAAAAATAATTGCATTATAACTCATTTTTGTTAGTAGACGAGGCAGGTTGCGCCACAACCCTTTATTCTGAGGTTTATAGAACAGGAAACCATTAAGAATAGGCGCGACCTTGGAATTACTAGAAGCTATGCAGCTACCAATCGTTGATCAAAACCAGAGTTAGTGCGAATAGACTCGCATTGTGTGGGTGTGCGCCATTTTCGATGATGGTTGTAGATGTGAGTTTGTCTCATGTATCGTGCGTAATTGTTTTTTAGCTCATGATGCTTGGTTACTTTTCGATGTCTTGCAGTTATGTACATATCCTTGGTTTGTAGAACTGGAACTACGTTATTTTTGCGTGCATATGTTTAAATTCACTCTTTTTTGCTTGCTGATGCACCGTTTTTTTATGAAATGGTGACAGCCAAGCGGCATCTAGATCAATTCGATTGCGAACCTATTGAATTATCTCTAATTTCTGAGTAAGCTAAAGCTAGTATCAAACCGCTAACGCTACGAACATTGTGTTTACATCGAGTCTACCAGGTATTCAGTTTATTACTATTCACCTCTTGGCTTCTTTGAACACCCTTAAGTTTTGAGTTATTTTCAAAAGTGATTGCAGAATCGGAGTTATCGTCAAATTTTCGAATACATATACAAGTATTTCCTAAGTGGTATTATTTAAAATTGCAAGATTGCGAAAACCAGGAGTTTTTTTAAAGAATGTAATCAAATGTTGCTGCCCGTTGGAATCATATTAGTAGAATCATTTAATTATCTGTCTCGCATAATGATTACGAGAGCCCAGCATAATGTCTCTGATTACTTTTGGTTATTTTGCATTATCAATTGTCATACACGAATCACATAGTCTACGCAATATTTTTTTTCCATTTTTTGTTTTTTTTGAACTGAAGTTTTTAGGCTGGCGTGCAGCGATATTTATGCTTTAACATAAGCACTGTCTTTGGTTAAGTCCCACTTTGTATTACTCTAAGTATAAGGTGCCACTGTAGCGGCAGTACCTTGTGTTTATTAGAAGTTTCTTTGTAAAGTGATATATTGATGTTCTGTTCTCCGTGTAGATGTGCTTCTCGTATTGACTTGGATTTCCTAATTGAACCAATTGCTATTTTTACGGTTTTGTAACTAGTTAAGAAACCGACACGAATGAATGCCTTTTATGGTGATTGTATTTATTTTATAATTTAAGCTATTTCCGGTGGGATCATATAATTCATCTGTTTTGGCGTGACTGTCGAGTTTCAAGTATAGTATTAGTGGCCCCCATAAAGTACAAATTTTGTGATCTCCAATTTGATCCGTTAAAAGTGCTATTATGTCCGATAACCACGTATTTGCAATGATTTCTCTATATTCTTTTTGCGCCAGCAAGCGAGAGAATATGTCAATTGTTGTTTCTTGCCTCTGCTTTATAACAGCTTCTCCTTTTTAGGCAACCACCGCATGTCTATCAGCACACTCACTGGGCATGAAGCTACTCGGTACTGATCATGAACCTACCCATTCCCAAACTCACTCGCTCACTCAGTCTCATAATCACTTACCAACCACCTCTTCCACCAGTTCGGACGCCTGCATGAACATTGTTCACAGCCTCATGTGCCACCGAAAAGGTGGCGAATCTGAAGAATTTTCGAAATTCGCTATTGAAAGTCTAATAAAAAAACTAAAAGACCGGAGAGATGAGTTAGATGCTCTTATTGTCGCCGTAACTAGCAACGGTGCTACGCAAACCAGCTGTGTAACAATTCAAAGAACCCTTGACAGTCGGATGCAGGTAGGCCTTGGCTTATTTCACTCCCTTTCTAACTTCTGTAGATTGCTGGTCGAAAGTGTTTTCCCCACCTTATTTACGCTCGGCTTTGGCGATGGTCTGATGTTCACAAGACAGAGCTGCGCCACCTGCCATTTTGTCACTTTGGGTTCGACAAGAAACTTGACTGGGTATGTGTCAATCCCTATCACTATGAGCGCACGGTTTCCTCTGCTCTCGACATCTCGTCATTAGCTCTCAGTCCTCCGCTTGAGAGACGAAGAGGTAGGACCCTTTTTCCTATATTCACGGGATATTTGATTAGACAAGGAAGATGGAGAAAAGTATGGCAAACAAAGGCGTCATAGCAGCGACTTGCAGCAGCAGGACATTAATCATCCAGCCTCGATGCTCCGACTCAGTGTCCAGGCTCTACTGGACGAAAGCCCCTTGAGTGAGTTAAAAGCGTTTCTATTTAACTTTAATTATTGCTCTTTGGTGTTTTTTTTTCGTGGACCATGGCTTTCTTGCTTCCACTATTCACGAAAAATACTTTATCTTCCCAAAGATTATTTACAAAATTGGATATGCTTGCGCTATTTTACGTTCCTTTACCACTAATCACAATCAGGGGCATGTGTTTTCTACATTTCAAATAAAACCACTTAGCTGGCGTCCTTGTCAATGGCCGTCAGCAGAAAGACATACTGTGATCTTAGAAATGCTAACTGACTCTTGTCGGCAATGATGGCATCGGGTTTGAGTTTTTTACGTTTGTTTTAATTTTTGGTCTTGAAATCGGTTTTGAATTCTAATATTTTACAAACTATTGGTCTGTCAACATATGATAAAATTGATCACTTAATGAAAAAATTTGACATGTTTTCATTGGGAATATTAGTAGGGAGTTTTTCCCCCATATTTTCCTGGGTGTGTACGTCAACTTAAAATGCTAGCCTTTTGGTTTATTCTGTTCAACTGCGTGATTAATTTCCCACTTAAGAAGCTTTAAGGTCAACCGCAGTTCTTACTCGGTTACCTCTACCCGACCCCATGGTGATGTCTAAAATGATCCTGTGGCCGTGCGCCTAGTCTATTGAGTTAGCGGGCTATCCGTGCCTGAATGTGTGCCGTTGATTCTACATTCGAAATTGTACAAGACTGGAGGTTAAGGAATCACTTTGCTTGAGGCTCGTGGAAACGTGATCCATGCACTCATTGCACGCACACACCCCTCTCTCCTGTGTGATAGATTGAGTGGTGGTTAGTTACTTCAATCATTTGAGCACAAAACACGTGTTGTGTTTCTGTTCAACCCTTTTATTAGAAGATTGGGGAAGCTTTAGCTACTAAATCGGTAACAAAAACCGGGGAGTGTTTTATCAAAAAATGATTAATTTGCCCAAATGCATTTGTTTAATCAATGCGATGCCTGTTTTGCTGGACGCGATTGTGTATTCCGGCCACTTGGAATGGTTTTCTAAGGATTTGGTTAGCTGATTCACTTTTCGATAAGGAAATCCCATTACTTGTCTGTCAATGTGTGCGCCTGGAGTCTGTCGCCCTCAGTACTTTGGAGACCGAAATTCGGCCGGCGTGGGCAGTGTGTACCTTAAGTTGGCGGTGCGCTGTTGTATTTTAACACATTGTGCCTTCGGGTGATTGATAGCACGTGTGAACCCCTAAATACGAATCATTTATTTAATGGATATAGATTGTTACTGGGCGCGCATCTTTTGACTATGTCAAGTCACGGCGGATTTGACGCTCGCTTACCGTGGGTAGGCGGTCGGATTAAGCTTGGTTGATTAAAAGTTCTCCATCTGAGTGTCTGTTAAAATGTACTTACCATGTTTGCATACTGCTTGAATGTAATCTAGCATCATTTGTTGATGATACGAGTTGCCAATCAAGTAGTTTTACTGTTTGCTTTCATTCACAGCCTAATAGTTAACCCAAGATTTGTGCTCAATCCCAATACATTCCTAGTGAATTCGATGAATTAAAGTTAAGGTTTATTGTGACTTGAAAAGTAATTAAAGCAAACGACAATTTTTTACCAAAAGTGACCGGTGCTTCATTAAAGGTTCATTCGGGAATACTTGGTTTTGGTATTTGCAATGACGAAAAAAATAATTAAAAAAAAAACGATCGTTTTACGCTCCACAGGAATAGACATTGACTTAGAGTTGGACAGTAAAAAGAATTCGGTACTCGTGAAGAGAGCCTCCTCGGTCCAACGACACTACCTAATCAAGATCCAGTTCAAGCACCGGAGTTAACCTCTAAGTGGGTCATTTGACAGACTGTGACGAACTGGAAGCTCGTTGGGTCCACGAGCAGCCATCAGGAGGAACTAATGCGCCTTTTGCAAATCGAGTCATTTTTACTCCAAAAAGACTAATCGCATCCACAGTACAAGGATTGGGGAAGTAGACAATGACATGGCAATGCTCTTCCAAAGCGGGGAAAGGTGGCATCGTCTGGTCGCTGTTCTTTTTGTTCGTGCACTCCCTCTGAGCTTTATCTAGACTGTTAACTCCGCAAGCAGTGCTCCGCAGAAGACTAACCCAGAATGTTACCCTCAGGAACTCAGTTGCTGTCACATGTGTACTGTTAATGAATGCTTATTTTTGTGGGATAACAGTATACGTTGAGAGTGAACGAAATTGGCTTTGCCGCTTTTGACATGCCTGATTTCGGGTGTGTTTATCCATACGAAGGAACCAAAGTTTTGTAAACAATCCTTTTTCATAGTAAATCTAGTTAGTGTAAAATTTCAGCAGTCACGGCCATCCCGCACACAAATCAAGAGTGCCTCGTTTGAATTGTCTATTGAGAACTGGACGTCTGATTAGCACTCTAAGTTTAAAGTGAGCGGTAAGCTTGACAAGTTCTCCAAAGGCACCTTAACAACTAGTGTAGACGACTTTTTCCATTAGAGCATTGTATATATGCGCCTTGACTAAGCTCCAAAAACTTGGGTGTCTATTTCTTCGGGCTCATTACCTGGATGTACGTGTGAAAGCTTTGCTTCACCTAACTGAGGTGAACGAAGAAGAATTGACCATTTTGACTACAGTATTTAGAACTCTTCTTCCTTCCACCGGTGAAACCGCGGAATTTAAAAAAACGACATTTGCTAGATATTTTTGGGTACCTTGGCCACTACAAGTTATCTTTGAATCGTGATTTTAGTAAATGGCGCCTTGATGCTGTTGATCACGAAAAACCATTTCAGATGAATAAAAAAAGGATTCACTCCCGATGCCATAGTGCGCGATAATTGGGAAGCATCCTCGCTTTTCGCTTCCTTTATCCATGCCATCTTAACATAGCTGGGATTTTGACTGTGATACGAGCAGAGATCAGTTACCCCTAAATGTAAAGAGGGTTTTCTTGGGATTAGTACTCGGTAGTTCGGTGGCAGGGCTCTACAGGCAGATTCACTCATATATAAACTAGCAGTCCCCCTCAATTCAACTTACGCATCGGCTACCTTGTTTCTCGTGTCGTGACCACATCGTGTGTAGGTTTCCGCCTCGGTCAGTAGTGCATTCCCCCTATAATTTATCCTGTTTGGGATTGATTTCTGATTAGCGGTGATATGATGAAGGTTTTTTTCTAATGCCAATTGGGGTCGACTTAAAAGTTTGACTTGGAAAATCCTATTTTGTGTAGGCGGCAATCGCTCTAACAATCTGCAAACGTTAAAACTTAGCCTAACTCATAGCGTTTGTTTAAATCTTGTGTGTGGTCTTTACTGAATGGTAGCACATCTACAGAGCATTGAATTAGGTGCCCGAATGTTTAAATTGTGATGACTGACAACATCAGCTCGACAATATCGAGTTGTCCTATCCTGTTCTCACCTGTTGCTTTAGTAATTAAACCCAATATCTATTTATAGATCGTCTCTGCAAGTTCTTTGGTTTAAAGCATGTGATGCAGCTGTTAGTCAGTTCAAAATCAAATTTGTGTTTTTGATGATGCATACTTGAACACGATCCGTTTGCGCATGCTGCGACCGAGACTTGTATTTTATAATCGTGCCGGAGTCCCTACACGTGGTGTTTTCGGGGAATTTCATGTGTCAACGTTACAAATCTGTTGTAGAATTATGTGCTTGTAACTTTTTTGTCACCAGGTGTCCCCTCCTTGCGAGGTGACATTAAACCTGAACCTCTGAAGGGCAGCACAATTACCTACGAGGCGGCCCCCCAGCAACCAACCTCTGTGGCCACGACCAATCATATGCCCCTAGATGGTGTTGATGCAGCAACAGCTAACCTTCTGAACCTTATGCGGTGGGTAACTAATGCAAATGCTAGCTTCGCGGCCGCTGTGGCTGCTAATAATGCTCCCCTTCCTCCGCCAACTACGAGCACAGATGATGCTTCTGCCGTGGCATTAGACGCTGCGGAGACAGCTGCCCTATTGGATCCCATTGCGGCTTCTGGCGGCGCCCCCGCTCCTATCCTCTATCCCAGCCAGTGCTCGGGTGGCAGTGGAGGTGAAGGAGGAGGAGGGGGAGGGACGAACAACGGACAATCAGTGTTCTCGGCGGGTGCTGGCTATGGAAGAGTAACACAGCAGCAGCAACCCGTCGCCTCCTCCACCTCATCTCTCGGTGGAGGGTGGGGCGGTGGTGGAGCAGCTGGTGGACCACCGCCTCCCATGCTTCCGCCGAATGCTCCTCCTGGCGGTATTCAGGTAATTTTTCTTGCCTTTTTCTCTGTCGAGGCCCTAAGCAAATTTATTGTACCATTTTGATTCTTTTAACATCTCAGTCATATATCATATCGCAGGGAGTGATAAAATCATGTTACTCGTGCCTTCGTGTCCACTTTAGCCCTAGCAGTTCTATTTCTCTTGGCCCCCACTAATTTCCACTTCACTCTTCTTGTCCACGAACCCGACTAATCATTTCTCTAGAAATAGAGGTCGCGTCGTACACGTCGCTCGGATGTTTCACACTGACTTACTGCTGTATTGAAAATACGTAAATGGTTAATAATTTACTCTAGTCCCTATCCTCCCGTGAAAGCTCCGTTGAGTTCTTGTGCATATAATGCCGTATCGCAGACGTGGGCAAAGGGAGCACGTCTGATGGTGTTTGTTAACCAATAGGGTTCGGATGAACTAGTAAACGCACAAATGCCTAAATCATTTGATGTGCCGACGGTGATAAAGGAGGTATGAACACCAGGGCACACGGTTAGACATACTCACATAAACGATAGGGTGCCCAGACAGGGGACCTGGACGGGCACTAATTATTGAAAGAGGTGAATTATAAAGGTGTCTAGACACGCGTTGAAAGCGATAAATGTCGTTAATTAACACAACTCACTGCGGTTCTCCCCCTTAGCGATAGGAATCGGCAACCCTCTTTTTTCAAAAAAGAAAGCTGAATAGTTGACCGTCGGTTGTACTACGGTCAATATTCCGTCATCGACAGGATGTAGGATTTGCAATTTTAAAGCCTGAATTGGGAATAAGAAAATGTGTTAAAAGAAGGCATTGTTCTCGCTTTCCGCCGTGTGAACGTAAATGTTCACTTGCCACTGGCTTCAACTGGGGTGTTTGAGGGTACCCATGTGTCTACGAAAGCTGGCGTGACACATTGTATGGATGCAGCATCGTTTTCGTTAAACTTGACGATGCTGATTTTCTCTCTTTCCGAATAATATCTCCGAAGCGTCCATCGAAGGTGATTTGAGGCGGCTAACGTGTTGCGTCTCGTCAAATGAACACGTGGATGCCGAAGTATAACATTTTGGAGTGTGTCAAGTTGCAAACGATGAACGCGTTTGAGTGAGTTCTGGTTTGCGCGTAACTCCCTCTAAACGATCGCCGTAGTCTTGTGGATCCGGCCATGACGAGTGGAATGTTGCAGAGAATCGTTTAATAATCTCAGTGTTATCTAAAAACCATTTCTGCAGAGGTAAAACCTAAGTCCTCCTTTACGACTGGTTGAATTCCTAGTAGGACAGCGGGTAATGCTTACATCCAAGGGACTGGGTATCTTTGAGCTGTTAAAGTGGCCTTCAGTTGTCGGTTAAAATTGTTCTGCCCTGCCATTTGAATAAAGGTAGTAAGCTACCGTCAGAATGCTGTTCGTTCCAAGGAATCGGGTGGAACTTTGAATCAGTCTGGAGTTGTACTGTACCAAAAGTGAAATCCATCTGCCGAGCAAATTCACCTTTTCCGTGGAAATGTGTTGCTTAGGAAACTGGACCGAAAATCTCTCGACTGTAACAAGGATTTCATTGCATCTCTGTTTGAATGGTAAACCCTTGTATCGGGGACTTGAATTCAAATGAGGATATTCTTTCAAGACCTGTCTACCTGGGATGTCGAGCAATTTATGCAACTTTTTATCAGTTATTGGATGTCTTGATTCATAGGGGCCACACACAGCATTTGGACTTCAGCTTCCTTGACGCTCATTGACCCGAATGTGCAAAATCGTGAAGTGCTTGAAGCACTTGGCGGAATGAAATAGTGATGCACACCGAGTGAAATTCGCCAGAATATTAACTGTCTTCGGAGTTGTCGTGTGCTTCCAGAATCCTTGCAGTTATTTGTCAGATTGGTGCAGCAGTTTTTAGAGCTAATTTTGAGAATGCTAGACAGAAATAGCCGATGGCCGTTGTCCATTCCCGAGTAACGCCGCAATTGATTAATTGACTTAGCTTACGAAGTTTCGTGAATTTTTTGCCTGCACGTCACTAGGCTTTAAATCAAAAGCTAGCTTAGTGTGATCCAGAAACTCTAATTCTGGAACGCCGAAACTGTATCCTGACTGGCTTTTGTAACCTCGAAGATACGTGCAAACCTAAACAAACCAAAAGCCCTAGCTTTGGCCGTTATCGGTACTTTAGATGGTCTAACCGAGGGTAGTGATAGTCGTGTACCAACTCCAACTTAGAGAACGCATTTGCCATATAAACTGGACAGGAATCAATCTAGATTAGGTGTTGTATAGGGATCGGATATTAGAATTGCGTTTAAAGCCCGGAACCTACCATGTGGGCGCCACTCGCCCGCAATCTTCTTTGGAGTCATGTGGAAAGCACATGACCAATCACTGGTCGACGATCTAACCTGAGCTACAACATGTGTTCCAATTTGCTATATTTTTTTGTGTGCCTAGCGTGTTTACCGATGTGTTCTGTCGTGGCCGCCCAATCCTGCATGTGGTTCGATAAACGGTGCATTGACTCGACCTACCGCAATTCTTGGGTTTTTTCGTCTTCAGACCATGGTCATTGTGTTTGCACATGTTCATGTAGCACTAAAACCCACACACCATTAATCATACCTCACATCTCAGTGCTCATACGCAAGGCAATGTGTCACGTATCAGGTTTCAAGACCGGTTTTGTGGAGCTTTCGATCGAAGGTGTGTGCCTTACCAAGTAAACCTCGTTGAACCCATATTCAGTTGAGCCAAATGGTCCTGCAGCCGCAGTATTTCAACAGGTTGAGGTCTTACAGAAATCACTGGCGTTCGTTGAAAGAAAGACTAGTTTCTTCACTACATATTGACCTTTTTAATAACCCAGTCTCCCAATTTCACCCATTGCAAGGTGAATGTGCATACACTCAATTCGCCTTTTCGAGTAGTCACTCTAGCTTAGTGTCAATTATTCAAATTCTGGTCCTCTTGTGGGTGTCTGCCCTGCATGAAGATCTGGTACTTGTTACCCATTGATGAGGTGTTAAAATTTGAAATTTGGCTTAGTGGTTCATTTTTTGCATGAATCGTAGTTGTTATTACTTTATTGTAACCTACGGACCTTGAGCTCTCCCCGTTTCTTTAGAGGCATCCTCTACTCCCCTTCATTTGCTGTTTCGTGTCACCCTGTCCAGCGGAAATTTCATCACATGTTCGCCCATCCACCTGATTGGTTTAGGAGCGTCACATCCTTGTCTGTTTTACCAACCGCGTAACCCGGAACTTGCACATTTCCATTCTTCCTAATTTTCAACTTACTCTCCCTAATTAATTCTTTACTGATATACTTGAAGGCCGGGTCTGAATTCACATCGAGTAACAATCCCCTTGAGGTTCTCAAAAATTGAATGTTAGATTCAGCCACTTTTTCCGTTGTGGGATGATGCCATAAAAGTGCGTTGTAATGTTCACGCGAGCCACGGGCACTGATTTCTGGTTCATTGTCTTGAATTCTTTGCGACTTGTGTGTATTAAGGACTCGGTTCACAACGCTTGAAATGCTTTAAACCTGCGTTGATTTTATGTTCGTAACGCTTCAATTTATGATGTCTCTTAAGATCGGATTTGAATATATTGAAGACGATCAGAGAAGGCGTTTGAACTTGCACGTAGAAGTGAAAAGGCTGTTTGCGATTAGTGTCTTGTCGTGTTGGTGTGTACACAACTTGCCTTCATGAGCTGTATCTTCTGATTCGCAAATACGTCCTTGACAGGCACACAGACCCCTCGTAATTTCAACGTTGCCTTCAAAGAATTCTCTGTTTCTGTTTGAGTATGTTGCTCCATGACCATAAATACTGTTCTGAAGCGCACGAGCCTTAGATTAGCTCATCCGGATGTTAAATGTGTTAGGAACTCGTGGCCATGCTTCCACGTATGCACCTCTACTGAGGTTGGGAGGAATGAGTGGAACTGTAGATATCACACCATGCAGAATGGTCATTCCAAGTTCTTAACCTCTTGTTTCGCATGTCAGTACGCACTTTCCCGGGCAATACCTTGTGATATCTTTGTGCCTACAGTGCATGTTTCATATACACCTCCCCGTCAGTAAAATGGATTGTCGACGGAGTTGTTGGTAGCAGTATATATTTTCTACAAGTTATTATGGTTTGACTTGCTCATCCTGAATCCGGAAGGTATAGTAGGAAGTCAGACGGGCAACTGTGGGACTAGTGATACTCCCTCTTTTTTAATGTCGCTAACTGGCGTTTGATAGTTTTTTATCAGCTAAATCCGAGTGTAATCTTATTTTAAAGTATCCCGTTTCCTGCCACCTCAAATACGCCAAAAAGCTGCTCCCTGAGGCCCAATTCTTGGCAGTCAATTCAGTGTTGTCAAGTGGGTGTACGAAAGTGGTAGAAAAGTTGACTCGCGATATTGTTTCTTAAGTCGATATCATCGCAAAACATTTTTCACAATCGGACGTTCTATTTGGCATTTTCTGTACTATTTGTATCACTGTCTCATGGCACATGTACTTAGTCGCCAACCTGAGTTAATTTTGCTCCAACTGTATATTTGAGCTCTTTTCTCAATGGCTGTAGTCGGCATCAGTCAGTAGGCCGCGAGATTTGAAGCACCTGCCAGTGCGTGGTCCCAACCACACCAGTTTCGAACCAGCTGTCACTTTCGACTTCGTAGGTGTGGTCGACAAACTCCTTCCCTACTGACTCTTTAATGTACGGCTCTGTGTGTGTTAACCTTCAAGTGATATTCGGTTGTATTATAGCTAGGCCTTGCCAAGCTGTTTGCGTATTCAATCAGTCTTTGAAGGAGGCACGCCCTCTTTAATTTTTAAAATTAGTTGAGACATCGCAAACACGGTAACTATAGGTACCTCCATCTTTAGCATTACACCATGAATAGCCTTTTTTTATTTTACAATAGTCTGCGTCAATATATGAGAGTGTATTCAGTTATTAGTTGATGATCTCAGGTTGTAATGTTTTATCATTTGACTTAACCATTCATCTCCTTTTTCCATTTTTGTTACCCCCGGGTTAATTTATCTACGTAATTGGTAATAGTGAGTTTTGATAACTTGCCATACTATTCAAGTGTCTTAACTGTGAGAGAGTAGTACGAAATTACATTTCTTAACACAAATATTGTTCAACAGCTTCGACTGCCCTTTCGGTATTCCTCTGTGTCGGACCGTACTTTCAATGTGAAAGGAAATTGTGCAATAGGGGTTGCAGGTAGCACAATATTTACTCAGTAAATAATTGGGTGTGCGTTTGTATGCCTTGTGTGAACAATTAACATTTTCGCCAAGTTAGTTACAAGCACGAGTTCACAGGGTGAGTTGCTTCTGAATCAAAAAAAAAGTAAGTACTCGCTCCAACGCGCTCTCATGTCGGATGAAATTTCGGAGTCACTATTGTTGCGGGTTCGTGTGTGTGTGTGTGTGTGCATCGAACTTCGAAATTCCTCTACCACACCTTACACTTGTAATGTTGGGTGGTAAAATTGTGAGGTCGTGAATCGCCACTCCAAAGGTGCCTTGCTGTTGACGTTCTCTTGCCCAGTAAACCCTGATTCTTCTTCGTGTGTTATTCAGGACTACGTGTTTGGACGGCTGCTGATGCAAATCTGCAGAAGTTCCGTTTGAAGTTCCGTTATGAGAATGCTTTCTCTCTAACCTACTCCGCCCCATTTTTGATGCTTATAATCTCATCAGTGTAAAGCACTTTAATAACTGATACTTCCACAATGAAAACCAGTTCAAGATTTTGATAAAAAATAGTGAATTGTTAAACTATTTTAACTGCTAGGTCTGGCAGTTAGAAGCTTACATTTGATTTTCTGAGTCAAACTGCTGAAGTTGTTCTGGTTTAAATTACCTATTCCTGCTGCTCGAACCTTTTACCGAACTCACTGAATCATTTCATCGTGCGAGTAAGAATTCGCTCCCACATTTCTCCAGAGGAGGCGTTGGCACAGGAAATTTTACATGTTCGCACTTCTGCCCAATGCTGTGTATGGGCCCTTTGTTCGAATAGCCGCGACAGGGGCTGAATGCCAAAAGTGGACAACACTGAGCTGTTTGCGAGCGTGACCCCCTCCCTGTAAAGTGAGGTGCCACACAAAACGTGTTCGACCATAATCGCGATTTGGGAGTCTCCTAGACACATTACGGCCTTATACGCGTAGACATCACGCTACTACTTAGTCGGATCTGTCACAGTCGTACGGTTTGTGTCAACACAAGGTTCCCCCTTTTTCGTCATGCTCAAATCAACGGAAATCGATAACGTGGTTGTAGCCATGGTGCCCATCGCTAACCTCTTTCACTCATGTATTTGCTTTGCCGGCTCCTGAACTCCTTCCTCCTTGCCTTTTCAGAGCCTTTAAGCCGCCAGTCTTGTTTGCATTTCATCTATCACAAATTCACGGTGCAGCAATTTCGGAGTTTGCCCAATTTTTTGTCTAATCAACACGTGCCTACACTCGTATTTAGCAAAATAGTGGCCTTTTTTTATCAGCCCTTGCAATCGCTTTTGTGCTTGACTGCCTTCACGCCCCACCTCATAGTCTGCAGTGCAGTCACGTTATACACGGTATCATCAAGACCCAGGCCCAGGCATCCTGGTTGCAGTTTTGGTGTGCGGTAGGCTTGCACTTTTATCGAATTGCACACTGCGCGTCGGCGGCCCTTACATAGCACGGCCTACTATCCTCCTCGCGGTCTAGTGTGTGTGGCCCTAGCGGCCAAGACCTATCCACCAACTGTAGACAACAAGTAGCCAATTTTTTTCCTTTCTCGACGAAAATACAACTAATCTCTGACTTGGAAGGTGTTCTTTTGTGCTTCCAGCTACTTGTTTCGACTGTAACAATCGCCACTGCAAGATGCCTGCCCACAACTTCTTGAAAAGTGTGTTATTGAACCAGCCTTGTAGATAACTAGCGTCAAAAATATGTGTTTTGAGCTTCGGCACTTCTCAAATTCTTCCCAGTGTGCCCTTTACATGTAGACCCTTCCATTGGTGCCCTTTGCAACTGGATTTGAATCGGTAGTTTAGTGTTTCCCCCCCCCCCCTCCTTTGTTCTATATCTCCTGCCTTCCTGAATTGAATCGAACATGGGGCTTTGGTTGTGCCTTCTGCCTTAGGGTGGTTTCGCACTGCTGAATTGTCCAGTTATTATTTTCCGACCACGAATTCTTACACACGTTGTCCACTTTTTGTGAATGCTTTTGTTCTGCCCAGTTTCTTGCAGAAATTCAGTGGTGAAACTTCATTCAGCTGTCCTTCCCTCCTCCCTACTTTATGCACGCTTCATTCAAATAACCGAGAGTTTCTAAGAGGTTTCGCGATTAAGGTCGGGACCTGCCACGTTTGTGCCATTCTGAGTACTTCATGTGTGTCTTCAACACGCCCCAGGGAAACTGCATGATTACCCCACTGTGGCGTGGTTGATTAGCACGGTGTTGGCCTGTGTGAACTACGGTTTAGATATCTTCATTCGTGTTCCTAGTGTGGTAAGTGCACTTGGTTTTAAAGTTCTGTTTGTCGGTCTTTTGGTCAACTTTGACAACGCATATGTGTCCTCATTTGGTATGAACTGTAATTTAACAGTTACTTTATTCCATTGATATTAGCTTGATAAAATCACATAGGTTATAGCTTATGCGGGGGGTTATCCGAATACACGGTTACTTCGATGGTTCAGAGTTGCTACGGCTTTATAAAATGTTGTTTGCCCCACACGTCTAGTGTTCGACTATGCACGCGCATGCTTTTTCACTGAATCTGTTGTATCAGGCTAAACGTTACGAAGCTCTGTGAATAGACGAATCCAACGGCTTGGGTGGTCAGTGACGACTCCTACAGCCTGGTCCATATGTTCAAACCTAGACTTGAGGCTATAATTTAATTCCATTCGATGCTTCGTCATCTATTGTGAGTCTTGCGATGACCCCCGACGAAAGTCGTCGTTTTGCTTCGGAAGTTTTCTTGTATTTTGCACCACAAATTGCAGCTATGTTGCATTTTATGTCGTCGAATTAATTTAATCGCCCGTAATTTATTCGACGTCATCGCTGTTCTCCGCGACGCCACAATATTCGTTTCCTTGCGCATAATTTTAAATTCTACCAGCAACATTCCCCGCGACCAAAGTTTGCCGACTTAAAAGTAGGAACCCGAATCCACCCTGGGAATTGCAAATAGAACATATTTATCTGATTTGCACGTTGACGTCTGTTCGTGTTTTCGTTGTTCTTGTGGTTCTTGTCCTTGTGAGTTTATTATCATCGAGGCTAGATGTTTCGTTTATGATCAAAAAACTGTCAAATGTCAATTCTTAAGGTAGCCACAACATTCTACATTGAGTTATTGTAGCATAAATTTGGCCGAATGGGCGAATCTGGTCGCAAGCCGTCTGATTTCGTTTATGGACGTCAGTTGCCAATTTAGTGTGCCCACTGACAAATCTTCGCATTTATCCCTTTTTGGTTGTCAGATCCTCACTGCTGCAGCCTTATTCCGTAGCGCATGGAATGTGACCCCAATTGGCCTTGCCCACACTCTCTATCTTTTATTTTTGCTGAAAAAAAATAGACCATTAATTTACCAGAATTGAGGGTAGTTCTTTCATGCTGCAGTCTCGTAACCAGTTAGGCTTTGTTGAAATCGTGGTCAGATTTCACCGATACAAAGATTCTCCGAAATAAAACATTCCTTTAACTCGAACCAGATGGTTTGGGTAGTAATGATAATGTTTCGAAATTGTCCCAAACTATTACCAGTAAAGTTCATTTTCCTTGTTCATTTAGTTGACAACTCAGCGGCCACCGGAGTACTGGTGTCACATTGCCTACTTTGAGTTAGACCAACAAGTTGGGGAATTATTCAAGGTGCCCAGCCACTATACTCGAGTCATCGTTGACGGCTACACCGACCCATCCAGTCGGAATCGCTTCTGTCTCGGCCAACTTTCCAATGTCCACAGGTAGGTTTCAGCCTGGCACAGGTTTCGGGCAGATAGTTGCATACCCTTGTGAACCCGTGAACAGAAGTGTTATGTGTGTATTCCCAACCACCTCATTACAATACTTGAAACTTTTGTTCTCGTTCCAGGTCACCGTGTTAACGCATAGAAAGAAGTAATGGTGGCACCGCAGGTCTTTTTACCGAAACTTGGTCGATCGAAGTAGTCATCAAGGTTTGGGTTTCTGCTGCTTGTGAATTGACGTATCTGTACGTAAATGTGTGTGACCATTGCAGCTCTTTTAAAGCCTCAGGTTGCCGAGCCGCGAAGCGATTCGCTAGTCGCCCACACGTTACCTGAAATAGGCGCTGTTTGAACCCTTGGCCCACGCGGTGGCTGCTTATCTTATTATCATCCCACCACGCCCTTGCCAGAATTTGAAAATGCGGCCCATCGTGGCAGATAACTAAATATTCACATAAAAAACGCGGTATATGTGCGTATTTTTCAAACCACACTCCAGGAGCTCCCACTGAAATCGCACTTGTGGCGAAACGTCTGCATGAGATTTGTCCATTCACTACTTTTATCACCTGGGTCATACAGACATGAAAGTGTAAAGTTGCTATTGTGTTCTGAGTTTTTGCCCATGCTCTGGTTTGCTATTTAAGTACGAACAAATTCAAAATGCCCCCACTGCGACACCATTCTACTTGCTTTCTCTGTTGTATGTATTTCTTACTCCGTACCAGACTCCAGTCGTCAGACCACAACGCGTCTACCTGCGATTTCTCTTTAACAGGTCAATGTCCGGCCGAGGCGGTTTTCCACTTAAATTACCCCTAGGTCACGAAACACTGTCGGGGTGACACTGTAGTATCTACCTTCACAGCCTCATATTTGGCCTATTTGAAGAGTTTGTCTCTCATCACCGTTAAAACCGCAACCCTTTATGTAACCACACTACTTGCGTCGCCAGAAAATAAACCTGAATGGATCCTTAATAGGTGTGAATTTGTTGATTATATTCATGGCAGCGTTTCTTTGAATGTTAGGCGCCATAGTAGCCCGTTTGTTGCTTTTTCAAAAGATGCTTATCAAAATTCGCCTTGGAAAGGCTGTGTAGATTTAACTCGTCCGACCTTCAGAACCCTGGCCTTTCCAAGGCTGATAGTTTAGTTTTTAATTTTGCCACAAAAATTGCCACAATAGTTCGTTGTCGTTTGCCCTCAAGCTTTGCGTAAAACAATGGGGAATAAGTGAAACCCACTTTAGACGTACATATTTGCATAAATTAAATCAGACAGAAAAAGCGTCGTTTTGCCGTTACAACCGTCCAGCGCCAGTCGTAGCAAAGGGCTTGGTATCCTGTTTTGTATTGAGACGTGCGTCTAAGCTAGATTTTAATCCACTGATTCTGACCTATTTACAACCACTTTACCGTTGTCAGCCCTGTCCGGTGCCTTTGTCATGCGAGGTAATATGGTTTCTTCCCCACTGATCTGGCTCAACTTTCCAAGTAGATCTGATGCAAGCAACCTACTGGCTATACATCACATCAAAAATGGTCCCTTCGACACCACCAATTTCTGATTTTTGCACGTGCGCGTAGTCCTCCATTTGAATGCATGTCGTGATTGGTGATTAAGCCAATCAAATGAACGTGCAGCCGGTAACTTGTTAGTGGCCCAGGCTCTCCTTGACTCAGGCTACGGTTCGACTTTTGCAGCGCGCTTGTTTTGCACTTCTTTCTTGTGCCTGTTCTTTCTGGTTGGGGGTCTGAACAAAGCCAAGCGTCACATTTTTTCTGACTCTGACGAGGACGTTAGTTGTAAGTTGGGAACGGTTTGAAGTAAACCAGACGTATATATATTCCGGTTCAACATAATATTCTCCGTCAAGATCTTTCTGTGCTTGCAACAACGAAGTTTCCGTATGTTATGTGATTTTTAGTAGTGTTATTAAATCTCATGGGTGCATCATCTTATAAATTTCCGTGTTTTTTTTTCAGAGTACACTTCATTCGCTTTACGAGAAATGCGACTTTTCGATTTAAAAAAAGCCTTCGTGCGTTTTTATTAATTGCCACTCCTTGTGTGTGTTCCACAGGTTAGTAAATAATCAACTAACCTTCTGAAAACACTACAACACAATTCAAGATGACGTGGCGTGAAGACGTTAATAGTGGATTTGTTTATGTTTTGGCATGCGTCGGTGATTTGTATGAAGTTGCTATCACGTGAGAAGTTCAAAAGACTGGCTAACCTGGATCTACCGCTTTTTTTGTTTACTTTTGCGTCACCATTCTTGTGCGCGAATAAGCGCCATACTTTGGGTTAATCCCAGTGTGTTTCGTCACAAAACAAATGGTGCAAAATTACGAGATAGCCTTGCAAGTGCCTTTGTTCATGTTACAGGCGTTTGTAAATCATGTTGGTGTGCCTTCGGCTAATATTATGGACTTTTGACTTGTTTCTTTTGTCAACAGTGGCTGGGACAATTAGGAGCAGTCGATGCCATCAACATTGCGACCGACTTGTATTGTCAAACCTGATTGCAATGTGTGCTTTCAATGCATTTCGGTCCCTAACGGTTTTAAGCTGTAATCCACTCCTGCAAATGTTATCCCTTGTTTCAAAGTGTTTTGGAATTTCCTCGCAAGGTCACAGCGCCGATAAGACAACTGCTCAGTTGCCCACCAACAAGAGTGCCGCAATGAACGTAATGATTCACCAGCCAAAAAAAAAACACTTGTCGATGTATGCAGATGGTTCTGCCTTTCGGAAGGCCAAGAGCTTGTCCTTGCGGAATTCAAACTGTTACTTAATATGTCACAGTAATTCCGGTGTTTTTGAATGTTGCTTCAATTTATTGAACCGTGATGCCTCAGCATGCAATTTTCATTTACTCTGCAAAAGCGGTTTAATGTGATGGGTGTGAATCGGTAACCTTAACGCCACTTCTAGACCTAAGTCGATCTAAATCCGTGTAGAAGCGTTCTATGAAGTGTGTACTTTTGCATTTATTTCTTGGCTCAGCTTTCTTTAGTAATCCACTAGTTTACAAACCTGTCTGATCTCATCTATTATAACCACTTTTGAATTTAATCAAATTCGAATAATTAAAACCCTAAACGACTAACAAGTGACTTTTTTATCTGTTAAGTGAGACAGAAATATTTCCACTTGTGCTTTTTTTATAGATCAGAGCAGTCAGAGAAGTCGCGACTTTACATTGGCAAGGGCGTGGAGCTGGATATTGTGGGCGAGGGCGACGTGTGGATCCGATGTCTATCTGAGTTCTCAATCTTTGTGCAAAGCTACTACCTCGATCGTGAGGCAGGAAGAGCACCGGGGGATGCCGTGCACAAAATCTATCCCGGCGCCTACATTAAGGTGAGGCTTTGAAGGCCAAATGCGAGGTTTCACTCACGTCACAAGTTAGCACCTCACGTCGTCATCTGGCCACTTTTTGCAATTTCCTTGAAAAAGGGGCCTTTTAGGGTGTCGTATATTGTTTGAGACTCGTAATTTAATTGGAAACCTACTTCATTTTCGGTGGTTTTTTTTTCTGATAACCTCTCTGACAATTCTACTTTTTTGTGTACTTCAAGTGTGACGTCCTGTTAAGGTGTCAGAAATACGTCCAAAGGTTTCTTAATGAAACCCCTTTTTTCAATGCTGAAATGTTCCACTTTTACTTAAACAACTTTGTGGGTGACTTCAGTAGCTTGAAAGCAGACTGAACTAATACCTCTTGAAGGGCGTGTTTAAAGCGTCTAACACTGGAAGTATTGTAAATTTGCAGTTTTTTATGCCACTCTCAATTACCATGTCTGTATGAACCGACATGTCAAGTTAATTAAAGTTGACATTTTCGTCAAATGTATCTCAACACTGCACTAGTGGAATTATCTGTGGCTAAGTCCTGTCGTTGGTCACTCCCACGTACTTTTCAAACGTCGATGTGCACGTGTGGGTGAGCGGGGCGTGAGAAGGCCCTTCGCAAAATTCAAATTCCTTCATGTGAATTTGGCAGTCTTGTAGCGCCAAACCTTCGGCTTTAGTTCCGCGTCTTAGCTACACTCTCCGATTAATGAGTTCGTAGATTTTTCATTTTCTCTTTAGCGCGACCAGGTTTACCAGACAGACATCGAACTGCTACCAGCCACTGCGTCTCGTCGTCAGACTAAGCTAAATTATCAATCGCAAGCACTAATTAACAGTGGACGTCCAGTGAATTTTTAAACTATCTCTTTTACCGAGTGTGAAGGTTTTCGCAGACTATTCTAATATCGCTTTAGAGTAGTTGTTGACTTCTGGCCTCTCAAACAGTCCCTCAGTTGATACATTAGGAGCTGCTCCTGCATTAGTCGTCTTTGGTACCAGACTATTTTCCCAACCTTAAAAAATGCCCTTAACAGAATGGCAAAGATTTACTCATTCTATTTGCACATTCTTGCGTCGAACACGTTTTCGATAATCTAGGCTCAAGATCTATCCCTGAGATCTGTGACACTGCCTTAAACACCCAGACCAATCGAGTTCACAGTTCCCCATATTTGTGTGTTAAAATGTGCACCGGACAGTTAATTACCTTTCTAGTGAGACACCGAACGCTCCAATTGCTTGATTTCGCCTATTCCGTTTATTCTTTTGAGGTTTTTGACATTCGTCAATGCCACGAGCAAATGCGTCACCTTGCGCATATGGCACAGGCAGCGGCTGTGCGTCAGGCGGCAGCCGTGGCGGGTTCCATGCAACTCGGCACCTCCGCCGGACCCGCTGGAGGTGACACGCCCCTCGCCACCACCGCCCCCCTGGGCACCTGTGAGGCTGCGGGCGTCGGTGTGGACGATCTGCGGAGGCTGTGCAATCTCCGATTAAGCTTCGTCAAAGGCTGGGGTCCCGACTATCCACGGCACGACATTAAGGAGACACCTTGCTGGATCGAAATTCAGCTTCACAGGTACGACCTGGTGGTGCTTTTAATAGTCTGTTCATACCGTTTGTGATTCAGTCAAATGGTAGGGCTGTGTAACTCCTATCGATTAAGTTGTTAAAAAGGTACGATTCCATGTCCTGAGAAGCCGAATAACTATGAGTTCACCGACTGGTCTGTAGAAAGTCGCAGATTCTGCCCTTATTTTCGTTCATGAAGAAGGAAGACGAAAATTAGAAGTTGGGTATATTCGAACCATTACTTACTGAGAGTTTGAAAAAGACGTTTCTATATTTACGTTTTATTTGTTTGGATGGCTAGAACTTGTCATTTGCCGCGTGGTTTCGGCTTTTGCGAGTAGGCGTATTTCAACCAATGAAATCTGATATTTCCATGTGTACACACACGCACTGTGAACATCACACCGAAGGAGTGCTCTTAGTCTGAAATAGGGTTGCCTTTAATATTTAGTCTGGATTGTAGTGAGTCATGATAATTTAAGCCCATTACCTCTGTCGTCGCATGTCCAGACACCTTTGTAATTCTCCCCTTCCACAAAACTGTGCGTGTGTGCGCGTCTGTTCCATTTCCCTGCCTCGCCTTCCCCATTGTTCATACGGGCACCCATGGCTGTGCACTGGTTTGTACGTATTCCAAGCTCTATTGCAAGTACAAACAACCTTTTGTGTACTCTGACTCAACAGCAAATTTGAATTGAGCCATCTACCAAACCGTAGTCCCATTGCATCCAGTCCTATTCATCCCTGGGTAT